ACAATACCTCTTGGGCTTCTTTTGGAAGACACTTTGGTCTTCTATACGAAGTTTTTTTGTTCTGGTCTTCCATACGAAGACCTCATATTCTTCTAGCAAAAACCATTTTGGTCTTCTTCTATAAGATGTAACTGGTTATATAAGAAGACTTTCTGGGTTTTTCATAAGAAAACTTTCCGTACTTCTATTAGAAATCTGCTCTGCTTTGGTCTTTTATAAGAAGACCTTCGGATCTTCCATGAGAAGACTTTCGAGTCATCTATGAGATGATTTTCTAGTGTTCTATGAGAAAACCTTTTGTTTTTCTATAAGAACTTCTCGTATTTTATAGGAGGGTCAGTCTATTAAAAGTTCGTCTAGTCTTCTTTAAAATACCACTTGGTCTTATTTAAGAAGACCTTCTTGTCTTTTATAAGAAGAAGACCAAAATGTCTTCTATAAGAAGACTTTTTGGTCTTCTATAGGAAAGACTTCTCATCTTCAATAGATAGAACTTCTGGCCTTCTGCTGGTCTCCTAAAGAGGGAAGAGTTGCTGATATTCTGCAAGATGACGAAGAAGATGTTCTTATGGTCCTCGAAATGCAGATCTTCTGATCTCCTAAAGAAACCTTCTGGTCTTTAATATGGATGAATATGATCCTCTTACTTAGCTGGCTTATGACAGAACGCTTAAGGCGAGCTTAAAAAGATTTCCAGGGGCGTCGGTCTTGTGCGCATCTTATCCAATTTAAAAGACCATTTTCCGAGACGTTGAGTCCTACTTGATCTTTCCATCGGATTCGTGGCCTTCCCCTTCTGCGTGAACAATCACTTGGCTCGCTTTTATATGCCTTTTGAGCTGGGGCATCTTTATCCATTCCCACAAGATGGTCTAGCCAACGTAGCCACTGTAGCCCCATCCGTCTGACTATATTGATGTCCGAGAATATATGGTATAGCTCATGGTTCATTTGACGGCGATATTCACCATCGACGGAGATCGTCCCTTAGATCTTCCGGAGAATTTTTCTCTCTAACACTCCAAGAGCTGCCTCATCTGCTTGCGCAAATACCCATGTTTGAGATCCATACAACAGCACGGGTAAAATCAGCATCTTGCGGAGTGTGAGTTTGGTCAGGGCAGAGGCGGCCATGCTTTTGAGTTACTTACTCAGACCATAGTAGCATCAGTTGGCCAACACTACTCTCTTCCGGATTTCAAAGCTGATGTTATTAGTTTTGTTTATGGCGGTACCGAGGTATATAAAATCGTTCACTACCTCGAAGCCGTATTTTTAAAGTTCCACAGTTGGTCCGAGTCTACTGAACGTCTTGCGCGTTGATACCTTCAGCTTGGTCTTTTCGACATTTACTGCCAGTCCTACTTTGGCAGACACGACAAACTGTCACCTTGTCTGAATCCTCGTTCGGTATTGAAGGGCTCCCAGAGGTCCTTTCCGACTTTAACTGCTGATCTTTTACCAGTTAAAGTTATCCTGCATAGCTGTATTAATTTTGCAGGAATGCCAAACGCAGATATGACTTTAAACGCCTCTGGACGGATAAGGCTGTCGAATGCGGCTTTATAGACGACTAATTGGTGGAATGTGTCGATGTGTTTTTCATGGATTTTTTCCAGGATTTGGCGCAGAGTGAAAATCTGGTTAATGGTGGATTTGCCAGGTCTGAAGCCACATTGGTATGGTCCAACAATGTCATTGACCATAGGCTTCAGTCGTTCACACAGCACGCTGGATAGCACTTTATACGCGAAGGGAAGGAGACTTATTCCTCTATAGTTGGCACATATCGTCTTGTCTCCTTTTTTGTGCACGGGACACAGGATGCTGAGGTTCCAATCATTGGGCATGCATTCCTCGAGCCAAATTGTACAAATGAGCTGGTACATGCTCCTGACAGCATCTGACCACCGGTCTTAAATAGTTCGTCTGATAATCCATCGGCACCTGCTGCTTTATTGTTCTCCAGCCGATTAATTGCTACTCTGGCCTAATCTTGGATAGGTGGTATACACTCTATACCGTCATCTCTTATTGGTTCTGGGGTATCTTCTTCACCGCCACTATTTGATACCAGAAGCTTTTCAAAATGCTCCTTGCAGATCCTCAAGACGCTGTCTGTATCTGTCACCAGGTTTTCTTCTTCATCCCAACAGGAGGATGTGCCGCACCAAAACCTTCGGTTTGCTGTTTTACTCGTTGGTAAAATTTCCGGACTTCATTCTGACTCCTGTACATCTCGATTTGCTCACGTTTTTCTTGTTCTTTCTTCTTTTTTCTGAAAATACGTTTCTCATCTCTCCTTTCCTCCCGGTAATTCTCCATCACATTACGTGTTGCTACTGTCTGCAGTATTGCCCTATACCCTGCATTCTTCGCATCAGTAGCACTACGACACTCCTGATCGTACCACGGGTTTCTTGATGGTGGTTTTTGGTAACCAAGTGTTGCTTTTGCACCATTTTGTAGGGAGTGGGCAATTCTTTGCCATTTTGCTTCTATACTATTATTGGGACAAGGAGTGCTTTCGTCCAGCAAGCAGGTATTTTGGGCGGAGTATGCATCTTTTATCTGTTGTGTTTGCAGCTTTTCGACGCCGAGTTTCCGTATTACATTAGATCGCACATTTGCTGCTACATTAAGGCGGGTGCGAACCTTGGCTGCCACAAGGTAATGGTCCGAATCGAATCCTTGTATCCAATGTGTACAACATTGGATAAATGCCTTCCGTCTATCACAACATAGTCAATTTGATTTCTCGTTGTTTGATCAGGAGAAATCCAGGTGGCCTTGTGTATATCGAGATGCTTGAATCTGGTGCTGCTAACTACTATGTTTTTTGCTGCAGCAAAGTCAATCAACCTCATGCCGTTGTCGGATGTTCCTTCATGGAGGTTGAATTTTCCGATTCCGATTTTTGCATTAAAATCTCCTAGCAGAATTTTAATGTCATGGCCAGGGCAACGGTCATATACTTTTTCTAGGCGCTCGTAAAATATGTCTTTGGTCTGTTCATCTTTATCTTCGGTCGGAGCATGGGCGCAAATGAGACTGATGTAGAAGAACTTCCCTTTTATACGGATTATAGAAATCGCTCATCTACTGGAGTGAATCTGGAGACGAGCTCTTTTATTCTCTTGTTAACCATAAATCCGCAGCCAAATTCACGTCTCGTTTCATGGCAGTTAAAATACAGGGGGTAATCATCTGATTTACTTACGCTAGCAGTCCCTTTCCATTGCATTTCCTGTAAGGCAATAATATTGGCTCTGTATTTCTTAAATTATATTATACTTCTTAAATAGGTAAATTAGTTCTTCAAGTTTGTGATCCATCCATTAAAAAAAATGTTCTATTAGATTCCAAAAAAATGTCTCTGGGTCAGTGGACCCGAGATCTTCAATTCAAGTGTCTTCGGTCTTTTTGCCGAGCTCGCAGATCCCTCACCATAACCCATAATCTCAGGGCAAATGAAACACCACTTTCATTTAAAAACTACAATATTTATGTTTTTTATTTGTTGATTCAATTTTATTTATTGTTTTTTTATTATTTTGGGTTTTTGGTATAATTTAATACAGTAAGGGAGGAGTATTTATTTATTACTTTTTTTAGAAAGTCTTTTAGAGAAATTCTAAGTGTATTCGTTTACTTTATATTCTCCGTTTTTTATGAAGTTTGTTTTTTTTTCTTTTTCATTCTTTTTTGTATAAAAAAAAATAAAAATACGTTTACACTCTACGATACCTTATAGTTATAGATAGACGAAAAATAATCGAATATTTTTTCTTTTTTTTAATTTTATAACAAAAATTGTTATTTGAGAATCGAAATAAAATTGAGAGAGTGACAAAAATAAATAATAAAAAAATTTGTGCAATTTATAGTTACAAAATTGAGCGTGATAATGTCGTTGATGAGATGTATATAAATAAGCATTTTACATATATAAATAAAAAAAAAAAATATATATATATATATAAAAAATAAAACAAAAAAGCGTAACAGAATATTGAATAACAAAAAATAAAATAAATATGTATATGTTATTTTTTTTTAGATTAACAGAATGGCATAAATAATAAATATAGCATCTATATATAAACAAATTATAATTATATTGAGGAAGTAGTTTGAAATAAATAAAAATAAAAGCTTATATGCTGAAATACTTAGAAGAAAAATAGGCATTTCTAGTATTTCATAATTGTTTTCTTTTCGTTATACATATAATACTAGCATAAATAAATATGTATATATGTATGTATATGAGAGTAGAGGATATATATTTTTGCATATGCATGTATTTCTTAAAATGTTTCTCAAAAAAAGAAAAGGAAATGAGGGCTGATTTTCTTCATTCTCCACAATTTGGAAAAAAAAAAATGAATTCATTTTCCCAAATTTTGTATTACAATGGGTGGTTATTTGTTATGTCTTCTTTTGAGGGAGGTTATATAAAAATCTGAATAAAATCCTTTATTCGAGTTTAACACATCCCCTTTAAACTATTGTTCTTTGGCGTTTTTATTATCAAGCTCCCAACATTCGACTCAATTTTTGAGAAACATATTTTTTAAGAAAACAAAAATAATAAAAAACGTACAAAATTATTGTTGTTGTATAATATGTTGTTGTATGCTGCAACATAATGTTTAAACATTATTCATTCGATTCACTCGTAGAATCGTCTCTCGTTTTTCTCTCCCAATTTTCATAATCAAAAGGGGCTATGAAGGGAGACAAAAAAATGTCGACTTGATAAATATTTTTTGTGATTAAAAATGTGTGATGATGATTAAGATGGGAATAATTTCTTGTTGTTCTAAAATAATATCAATTACGATAATGTTGATGATGTTTACACTAAGAAGACAAAAAACACATGGATAAAAAGATGCACCACAAACAAATGCTACAATTTTCGGTTTCTTTCATTTTTGCTGCACTAAACATTAAGACTTTTTTCCATTTGAACTTAAAGAAGCGAAGACCGGAACTTAGGCCTTCATTAACAGATGCGGTTCAGATCTCAGCGAATCGGTTAGATATTGTGTTTTCATTGTCTTTTGGAAATAACGTTTTTCATTCGGGGAATTAACATTATAGACTATGGGTCGAACACCCACATTACGCCATAATTCAGCAATGTGTCTGTAAAAGAATACAAAATAAATTAATAAAATTAAATAAATTATTTATTTGTTGTTGTTAACTTACAGATTAAATTCCTCTTTGGACAGGAACACCACACTAATGCCAATCACGGGTGAAATTATATTACGGAAGAAAGCACCATATATTGAGGTAATTAATGTTGAGGCTTTGAGCAGCGGCAAAGCCAGAGATTTTTCAGTCCATAAACCGCAAATGACATCGGGATTTACTTTGCGTAACTGGAAGAAATTTTAAGGAATAAAAAAACAAATATTGGATTGTTAATTAATGCGTAGTAGGCAGAAAAAAAGAGAAGAAGGCCAAGAGCAATTACGTTCGAGGATACAAAGGCTGTATTATAAACGACACGAAGGTCTGCCTATACAATTTCATTTCATTTCAAAATTGCCATTTATTTAGAATCATATCAGTTATACAGTATACTGAATGTCTACAGTATAAAATGAAACTATAAATCTACTTCTGCTATGCCATGTGGCTTAGAATGAAGGAACACTACGAAATTATTTTTATCTAGCGCCGCATTTGGAATGCTAGGCAAACCTTTAAACAAACTAGTACTTATACAGATATTTTAAAAAACTTCACTTGCCCTAAATTAACTTAAACCTATCTTAAATCTAATCTTACAATTAAATTATTTACAAGTTCTGTTTATTGAGCTGTGCTATATTAAAGGTTCAATATTGGCGTCAAATCTGTGGTACCTCCGATGATAGTACATCAGAGGTCATTTTTATCGTATAGGATACCTCCGTCTCGTAGATTCAGCAAAATTGCAGAGGGGAGGTGTTTCCTTCTAGGTATGGAGTGGAGTTCCACTTTACACTCTAGATACCGCTCTACTATTCAATTTTCCACAGGCTGGCTCCTTTCCAGGAAGTTGTAGGCATGCAGACATCGATTCGATTGAAGTCGATTGCATTGTAGATGTTCCTATTGGCCGGACGTCTATAAATTCCATTGCTATCCAGTGTTGGTCTCATTTCTACGCATGATGCCAATATATTTCTTTCCAAAATTCTAATCCATTCCATTTGAGCTTGATGATATGTTGAGAATCACTTGCTTGTATATTAGCAAATTTACCTCCGAAGAAAGTCCTCCTCGCATTCGAAAGAGTCTTTGATAGGCAAAGTTAATCTTTTTGGCCTTTGAAAACACATAATCAACATGGCGACAAAAGCTGAATCTTTCGTGCAGGATGATTCCAAAGTATTTCATCCTTTCGGACATTCCTATGAATTCATTTTCAATCTTTATAGTTGGAATGTATTTTTGGAAGCTCTTCGCAGTGGATTTGGGTTTGCCCTTGAAAACCACCGATACACACTTTCCAACATTGAGTTTAAGTCCCCATTTGTTGAAGTAGTGGCGAAGTGTTTCTATGTACACATTCAATCTTCTTTCCACAGTGCTTCCGAAACGGCCTCATAGAACAAGTAACACATCATCAGAGTATGTTAATAGCAGTCCTCTTTCAGGCGGCTCTGGTATGTCGCATACGAACAGGTTGTATAGAACCTGTTCCAGTAGTGTTCCCTGTGGCACCCTGCTTTGACCGTTCGCGATTTAGGCATATTATATTCTACTCTCACACGAAATACTCGATCCTTGAGAAAACTTGCCATTATGTGACAAGTTTGTTGATCGTATCAGAGCGATTGCATCTTATAAGAATGGCGTGCTGCTATGCTGTGTCAAAAGCTTTGGCAAAGTCCAGACCAATATCAATGGTTCTCTGCCTATACACGATCCGACAGCCTTCTTATAGAAGACCAAAAGGTATTCATTTAGAAAACTGTCTTTTATAGAGGACCAAAATCATTCTTATAAACTCCTTCTTACCTCCTTATTAAGACCAAAAAATCCTTCTGTAATTTTCGCAGATCTTTTTCTTGTAGAAGACAAGCAGATCTTCTTCTTGAATAGCAGCAGTCCTTCTAGTAGAAAAGCACATAATCGCCTTATAAAAGACCAGAAAAGATGTTCTTATTTATGACCTGGAAGGTTTTCTAATAGAAGAGTAAATTGTTTTCTTAGAAGACCATAATGACAATAGGTTTTCTCATAGAGAACCAGAAGGTCTCCATATAGAAGACCTGAAGGTCTTCTTATTCAAGACCATAAAAACGTTTTAATAGAATATCAGGATTACTTATTAAAATGTAGAAGGACATATTTTAAAAACTGCAACTTGTGGTCTCCTCATGAAGATGGTCCACTGGTATCATGACGAGAAACCCTGTTGACAGGTGAATTTGGAGATCTCCTTATTTCTCTCAACTACTCCATGTAATGTAGTGCCTACAGCCTTGCCTTGTGTGCTGGGATTTGCTGATTTCATTTAAGAACAGTGAATTCCTGGTCTCAAGATCTAATAACATTTCCATTGTTGACTATAGAAAGGAAGAATTGCTAATCGGTCTGTAATCTTTAAGTCAAGTGTGACTAGGTTTCTCCTTCTTGGAAATAGGCGAACTTCATTCTCAAGGAGGAGAAACCTAGTCACACTTACTTCTCTCCATATTCTTGGTATGAATGACCCTGAAAATCTCCCTCAGTGTTATAAAAACTGCTCTGAGGTATTCTGCAACATTGCATATATTACACCATGTGAGTTGTAGGGTTGAAAAGTGTTAATAGTCCATACCAGTTTTGGATTGCTTTTTAGGTCTGATATCAGAATTTGCTCACACGTATTCAAGTCTCCCTGGAAAAAGAGTATCCGACAGAAGGTCCGGAGTCTCTAACGGAGTCACCGATAGATTGTGGGTTCTTCGATACTGTCCGAAATGTTGCCGCTTCATTATCGACTCTTTAAAGTATTCTTAAAAAATTCCTTGAAAAAATAATATTTAAAAAGTCCACGCTTACAATTCGGATAGTCCTAAAAATATCCTTTAAAAAATTCCCGCTTATAGCTCAGGAAGTTCTTGAAAAAATAATATCTAAAAACTCGACGCTTACAACATAAATATTATTTTAAAAATGAAAAATCTTTTTGATCTTCTTTTATAAAAAAAAAACCTCTTGATCTAGGAATGCCTTTGGACATTTTAAAAGAATTTTCATGTTAAACAACTTTTGGCCTTCAGCATAAGCAAATGTTTTTTACCCTGCTGATTTCATCATAAATTTACATTTACATGTAACACACTTACCTGATATATAGTTACTGGAGATCTTGTTATAACGATAATTCGTTCAATAAATACAGCATTTATGCTAGCCTTTAATTTTTCAATCATTTGTGAGCTATTATCTGATATGTATAAAAATACGGTTAAACGATTTTCTTCTAGAAATTCTAACAGTTCCTGCAGCGTCAAAACATATTCGGCATCAAAGTGTTTTCTGAAAAAAAACCCAAAAGAAAAAAATTATTTAAATTTAATTTTATTGTTTGAGAAAATTGTCAACTTACCCCATTGGATGTAGTTCGGCAATATTGATTTTCTTTAATGATTCCAATGTGTGCACTGCTATGCTGCCGGAGAGACCAGCCTTCTCCAATGTCAAACGATTAACGATGACAATTTGTCCGCATGCCGTCAAACCGGCATCGACTAGAACATTACGATAACCACGTGCGACACACTATCAAATTAATTAAAAGGAAGAAAATGGAAGGTAAGTTGTAAATAAGTTGTCAGGATAATTACGAGTATTGGTATGTTAAATACGATGTTTATTGCTAGGAAAAGGTGTGTCACACCTTATGATGTCATGTTCAAGTAAGTAAATTCAATTTGTTATTGGCCAAAGTGTAATGCTGAGTCCGTGGACATTTTTATAAGGATTTAAAAATGTGAAGAGGAATGGGCATACAGAATTTTTAGAAAACGAAATATCAATCTGAATGAATGCTTTTATTGTGACTTTCTTCCATTTGACCCTATTTAAGTTAGTGGATGAAAAATTGTTACATTTGTCATACCATTTATAAATTTTTCTAAAACTGGTCGATTGTGCCAATTTGTATGGCATCATCTCTCTTTTTGTCACTTAGCAATGTTCATTGTCCAAATGCAGTAATTTATATTATTCGTCACGGTCTGAAGTTGCACAACTTTTATGACTTTTTTTTTGGTATTAACAACTCTGAATACACCCCTAGATTGTTATCATCCACCATTCGTCGTTAATTCGTCGGAACAATAAATGTATGTTATTTATATTAGAACATATTTTTTTAGAAACTGAATAGATTACACTATTCTCCAAAGTAAAAAATATCACATAATAAAAACAATTTCTTTCATAATTCTTTAATAGATTTTCCATATTTCCGAAAATGCTTGTAACTTCTTTTGAGGCACTCCTTGACACAGAAAAAATTATTGTTGACTAATTAAAAATAACAATAAAAAATATTATAGTACAAACAATTTAAAAATTTTGCCATTTCTTACTCTACCCTCCAAAGTAGTTACGAACATACATATTTCTCTCTGGGCCCGAAATATAACTAGCTACCTAATATAGGCTCCGTATTGTTTACAAATCGTATGTCACACACACACATCGTATATCACACACACAAATTTTTTATATCCTTTGGGAAACGAGTAGTAATTAGTCTGTATTTTTGTCAATTGAAATTATATAATGTATCTTCTATAATGTCTTTAATAATTTTTTGTTGAAATATATTCTTTTCTCGATTCTTTCGGATACATTGAATAATGTAATGATTATACTGCATTACAAAATCGATTCTCAATGTAATACGTTCTCACTTTTCCCACTGGGATATGACTGCATGAGACTACCTTGTATAATTATGCCATGCTTTAAACAATACTTGAAAATATTTTTAAAAAATCGGAGAAATATTACAATGTGCACAGTTCGAATGAATCCCATCCAGACGGGCATTTGTAAATCGACTGCAAAATGCCTGAAACGGAAATGATCCAAAGAAACATGGGGTCTAAAACCAATAATCTGTACATAAAAATGGGTTATATATGTCCAAGTATCCCCAATATAAAGAAACCTACCTTTTCATTTATATACCCTCCACAATAGTATGGAGGGTATATTAAATTGGTCATTCCGTTTGTAACTCATCGAAATATTCATTTCCGATCCTATAAAGTATATGTATACTTGATCAGGATAAAATTCTTAGACGATCAAGCAATATCCGCCTAGCTGTCCGTCCGTCTGTTGTAATTACGCAATCTTCTGAAGGAACAACATTTTGTTCGAAGATAAGCTATATCGGTCCACGTTTAGGCTAAATCCCCAAATAAGGGTACCGTCCAATTTTCCAAATTTTGGGGTTCTTGAGCGCTCTCTTCAACCGAATTCGCTATGAATGGTACTTTGGGTTTTTTGGGTACCAAATGCCTCCACTAAAAATTATAAATATACGTCCAATTTTTCTGGTAGCCCCCCCCCCCCCCCCCCCCCCCCCCTCTTATAACGGTACCCCCCAATTACGGTATTTTGTGGGGTTATAAGCGCGTTTTTAAACCGAATTCTCTGAAATTTGGTACAATGGGTAACCCCCATATAAGGGCACCCCTAGTTTTTGGTATTGTTGTGTTCTTGAATTCGTTTTTCAACAGAAATCGCTGAAATTTGCTACACTGGGTTATTTTTGGGTACCAAATGTCTCCACTACATATTGTAAATATCGGTCCACTTTTTCCGGTAGTCCCCATATAACGGTACCCCTGAAATTTGGTACAATGGGTTCTTATTGGGTACAAAATTTCTTCGCTAACAAATATACATATAGCCCCATTTTTCGGGTAGCCCCCTACCGAATTCGCTGTAATTTGGTATTTTGTTATCGCATATGGTATTAAATCTTCTTACCAAAAATTATTAATATTCGTCCCTTTTTGGTGTAGTTCCCATATAACCCCCTTCTTATATTAAAATAGTTAGCTGATTAGATATCTGTGTAGGGGTTGTCCCCATATATGCGTATTCTAACATTGTATAGGGGATAGTTGTTACTCGAAGGTCAGTTGTAACCTACAAATTATGGAATTCTAAGACGATTTAGCCATCGGTTGTAATCATTCCGCTTTCTAAGGAAATATTGATAAAAAAACTCAAACCTGACGATACTGAAATATATCGGCCGGAATTTAGGCATCTCCCCCGTACAATGATACCTCCTGAAGGAATGAATTGAGACACAAAACAAAAATATTGGGTTCGAAATTGACATATATCGGTCGTTAATTATGTATAGCCCTAATATAATTATAACCCCAAATATTCGCTAATTCCTACACTATGTAATCTAAATAGTAGTAGTTTGAGGATTGTATATTCATGCGTTATTAGTATCAGTCCACGCTTTGGGGTTTTCATTAATTAATTTGTATTTGGTATACACAATAGTTTATGTAAACCAGTTTGTAGAATATAAGTATCTGTCAGTATACCTGTGGTGGAGGGTATCCAAAGTTCGGCCCGGCCGCTTTTTACTTGTGTTTTTTTTTATTTTGCAAAAAATCGCCTTCAAAAATGTATGTAATTTACTATTCCTTGTGGCCTATGGGTTACAATATATCATTGGAAAACATAATTAACATAGGTCTACTTATTTGCTATGTTCCTTGTATAAAAATCCCAAGATTATTTATTCGCTTAGGACTAATAATTTGCACGGTCGTAATTAACAAATTTTTAACTCATTTTATACATTTTTAAGTAAATCAAAATGTAGGTTTTATACAAATACTATTATTTTAATTAAAAATTTACTTTTTTCTTTTTGTCATATATTTTCATTTTCAAAATCTGGTCGCCTTATATATTTGTCACTTAACAATACAGATTGTCCAAAACCCAGTAATTTCAATTTCATTCGTTACGGTTTAAAGTTGCAAAACATCAACGGTTGGCTGTTTGTGCTAGTAACAGCCCTGAACACACCCCTTAAGATCAAACAATACACCATCCCTGCTCATTAATGTTGACTACTATTTAAAAAACCAACAACAACAACAAAAATTAGGTTATGTTACAAAGTATTTCATCGTCGAGACCAAATACATTACATTATTTAATATCCACCACATGAACTAAGGAACGCCGGTCACCATAAAAAATTGCATGTTTCAACAGCTTGTAATACAAATTATATTGCTTTTCTTCTTCTTCCTCCTCCTCGTTTTCTATTATTTTTTGAAGGCCAGCGTCACCCAAAAAAAGTTAAAAGTTAACATCTGTTCTTCAACCCTCTCGAGTAAGAGAGTAAATGTCGTTGACAAATGTAACCGTTATTCATGCATAACAACCACCTAATACAAAAACAATCTCTTTCTCTTCACACTCTCTTATTCTTCACAGCACACAAACAACTCACATGAGTTGCTGAGAGCCATTAAAAATGTACACAACACAGCCAGCCACTTGTCCTACCCTCTTCTTCTCAAACTAAACAACAATAACGTCATTGCTGTTAATTTTTTGCATTTTTTTTGTTCTTCAAAAATTTTGTATCTATGTATGGACTTACCTTTTTCAATGCCGCTTTTGAGTTTTCTGGAGCATCATAACCAGCACCCCTATGGGCAATCGGCCAAAATGACAAATCCTCCGGATAGAGACCTTGACTGCCAGAGGCCAACAAACGTTGCAGACGTTTTTCGTCTGGACTCCGCAGTTTGACGAACTTCGATAGCACACATATGACCACTAACAGCACCGTGATCCATGGTATGCCGGCTGAGGCCAAATTACACATGAACCAGAACACATTGAACAGAAATGTGAGAAAACTAAAGGAACAACATAAAAGTTGATAGAACATCTTCAGGAGGAACCAGAATATGGTGAAAATATTCATTCAGTCGGTGTTTTGTTGTAGTAACTTTGTCGTCCAAGAAATATGTATAAAAAAAGACCAACAACAAAAAGCACACTATTGGCTCACACACGGACACTTAAGATATATACACTGCAATGATAAAAAAGAAAAACGCACACACACACCGAAACACATTAATAACAAAATATTAAAAAGTGAATGCCTTCTTATTAGAATTTGAAAGGGGGAAGGGGTAGATTTTTTATTTTATTTTAGAATTTTAGTTTGTTTTTTGTCGCATTTCTCCTTTTTCTTTTCTTTACACTCTGCGCCCAACACAAAGATTTTATAACAATTTTGTTTTTTTTCTTGTGTGTTTGTCAGATGTACTGACCCAATTCAATTTACAAAAATTTAGGGTGTCTATACGCGACGAAAGCACTACTCCACAACACTCACACTGGTTTAGTTTGCTGCCTGCTGCTTCTACACACTAATATCGTTGCAAATTCTATTTAATAAAATTCTATTTTTTTCTTCTTTTGATTTTTTTCGTCGTCGTATTACACTATCGAGGATTTGGTTAGTTTTTTCTTTTTTTTTTGTCGCCTTAGTCTAATTAGATAGTTGCCGTCTAGCACCGTGTTGTGTGTTTTTCTCCGTCTCGTTAGTTAGTAGTGTAGTTGTAGTACAAAAAAGGACTTTCTTCCGTTTCCTTCCTTGCGGATAATTTTTGGCATTTTTCTAGCTCACTCTCACTACGGCTGGTTGGCTTCCGTCTGATTGGAGTTCGTATGTCGATTTTTTCTGTGTGTTATCGTTAATCGAAATGTGTGAGTGTGTATCAACGGTGATTATTTTGGTGGTGGTTTGCAATCGATTTGTTTGCAGATGTATAACTAGGTTTATATTTGGTAAATAAAATAATATACCGAATACGCTGACACATTTACATTTAACGCGACGAAACCATCGACCATCTATATCAAAGTGCAGCTACAAACACACTTTTGGTCTGTTCCCGTACTGCAAGAATCTACTACTTTTTACTACGATAACGAATTTTCCTTTATGATATCGAAGAAAATAGTAAAATCTAGTAGATTCTTACAGTACGGGAACAGACCATTTATATGAAAATAAATTATGGTAATATACGCCGTTTTTAATAAAAAATGAATTCCATAAAATGTTACGCATGGCGATTGGCAAATTTTCAACAAATTAAAAAAAAATATTTTTCTAAAGCTCCACATTTGGTTTGTTCCCGTACTGCAAGAATGTACTACTTTTTAGTACGATAACGAATTTTCCTTTATGATATCGAAGAAAATAGTAAAATTGAGTAGATTCTCGCAGTATGGGAACAGACCCATTATTATTAAGATTTTACTATGAAAGTTTGCAACTTACATGCATATGTTCTATAGGCAGGGAACTTAAAAATATTAATAATATAAATTATTCCAAAAATTTTGCTGTTGAACACAAGATTTGCGTACATTTCGAAGGAAGATATTTTCGTTTAAATTTTGAAAGCTGAATGTTGTCAAAAGCAAATTTATGAAAAAATTGGAAACATATGACTGCATGAGACCTTGTATAGTTATGCAATGAATGAAGGAAAAGGATAATATATTATTTAATTATTAGGAAATCGGATTTGAATAGGGTAGCTATTGGCTATAGGCTTGTAGGCTCGGACGGACAATTGAATATATGGTGTGTGTATTGAGGGCTTTTCTGGCAGGGGGCACCTGTTTAGGGTTCCGGGGACAATGCGCTGCCGACACGAATTGATAATATTGCTGTATCCGCACATTAGATGTACCAGAATTGAACGGGTTTGCCTACGAAGAAGCCTCTCACTCTCTGAAATTTCAGGAGTATGTTGTTGTAGGACTTTATTGCATCTGTAGCCATTTATGGCTTCGGAGACCGCTAAATAATGCACGGATTTCAGAGCGTTCGCTGATCGACAATCTGTTGACGTCTTGGATGTCATCACTATAGCACCTAAAGTCCTGGCGGTTGTGTCGCGGAGGTGGATCTGCCATCACTGTGTGATGGTTGGGATGGCCAGCAGGAACTGTCTAGTCAACAACACATTATGTTGCTGGACTGACAGCATCCTGGTCTCCCCATAGAGGTGATCGACGCTCGTCATCTGGACACAGCCTGTTGCAATTCGGAGTGCATTATTTTGAGTTGTTTGCATTGATCTCCATTGTGTGTCACTAAGGAAATAAGTCCAGATTGGGACAGCATAGTTCAGGATGGAACGACCTATGGCCTTATATATCGTTACCAACGTTTCTTTATCCTTACCCAAGTAGGTGGCAGCCAAAGCTTTCAGAACTTTATTCCTAGCTTCCACCTTCTGGTTGATGTAATTGGATTGCGAGGAGAAATGAAGGAGTTTATCGAAGACCACCCCAAGGATTTTCGAATAATAGACGGTGGGGATGCGCCTACATTCAACGGAAATGTCAAATTCTAAATTGACTTCTCGCGTCCAGGAAGTGAAAAGTGGCAGTAAACTTTGTAGTGAATGTTAACGCCGGACGAAATAATAGTACAGTCGTCGGCGTACGACACAACTGAAACATATTGTTACGTTCTTGGATTTTACTTAATCCCGTGTAGACGTTGTTTTATTTCCCAATACAGCTCGTACCAAATAAAACGCGGGTTCTTTCGGATTACGATTATTACAATGATTTTATTCACACAACTTTACTTTGCACTTTACTTTACTCGACGGTTTCAATTCGCGATCAGATTCACAACTGACTAACTGCCTTTCCATTTCCACTATTTTTATGAGCCTCGCCTGTCGCTACAGAAGTTTCTAGACGATCTGGTAACGCCTAGATTACGAACAATCTACATTGAGTAAACAATAACAATAACACATATACAGGCGAGGGGGTAACAAAGAAAGAGGAATTAAGCGATCATCAATGATGACGTTTAACAAGAATTGTACGTCAATAACAAAATAGAAAATGAAAGAGGAAATGGAAGGATGTAGAAAAATCTATACAGTAGTTGTTGTTGTGAAGTTATTCGAATAAACTGCGTAGTAGAAATTTACGTTACAATTCAAATTCTTAAATTAACGGAATTCATCTAAATTTACTTAAATCTAAAGTTATATTCGTAACAATATGGTGGAGAACTGGGGAGTTTCGCAAGATACATGTTGAACAAAATAGGAGACAGGATACCGTCTTGCGGTACTCCCATTTTGATCTTGCGATATTTAGATTTTTGGGTACGGAACTCAACGAAGGCCTGTCGCCCATTAAGCCAACGCTTGATATCACTCGGAGGGTGGAATTTGTAATGTCGGTTATCAGCTCGGAGTGATCGACCGTATCAAACGCCTTGGTCGTTGCTGATTGAGGCAATTCGCAATCTTGGAAGTAATTCCTTGCAAAGCCGTCGTTGTGCTAAAACGAAATGCTGTTTCAGGAACGGAAGCAAAACCTTGGCTACTTGTGAAAGAAGAGAAATCGGGCGGTAAGATTCCCCATAAGTATCAGATTTATAAGGTTTTAGAATTAGAATAATCCGGGCAACTTTCCAAATGTCAGGAATTACCAACGGTGACATCGATAACTCGAGAACTTTGGTCAGGTAGCCCAGCTCTAGTGCTCCAAGCTTCTTTAACATGAACATAGATATGCCGTTTGGACCAAGGGCTTTGGATGACTTGGATTTGGAGATAATTGCTTCTATCTCGTTGGATTCTATTTACAATTTTTGTGGGTTCAGGAACGGTTTTCAAGTAAAAAGTTGCAAAACTTGCAAAATTAGTAGATTCTTTTAGGTTCATGGACGGAACTGTTATTTGAAATTGATAGATGGGTTACAAATTGAACAGGGTTGCCATTATAAATTTATCAAATGAAGCTACCTTGTCGCCGTCGAATGAACCATGAGTTTTACCAGCTATTCTCGGACATCGGCATTGTAAGACGTATTGAGCTGCAGCGACTACGTTGGCTAGGTCATGTTGTGGGAATGGATGTAGATGCCCCAGCCCAAAGGGCATATACAAGCGAACCAGCTGATGATCCTCATAAAGTAGATTAACCCGGTAAAACGTTTTAATGTATATACATTTGAAAATGTTTAATAATTATCCATGTGTGAACTCATTCTTGACATTCTGTATATTTATATTAAAATGAAATGATATTTTACCGTGTTCGTCTGGAAGTAATTACTTTGTTATCGATGAAAGAAATAATTCATGTTTAACATTTCCCTACTTGTTTTTGTGAAGAAATCATAACCTTTCATAAGTTTTTTTTTTTAATGAACAGAAAAACTTGTTTGTCCCAATTTAGATTAGGCGAGTTTACTTGCCGCAAGTCTTTGTTTGCAGGAGAGAGGGGCAAGGGGAATAGAAATGGAAAAAAAATTGCTCGTACTGACAATTTTCTGGCAATTCGTTTTATGTATTTTGTTTGTAGTGTCATTTCAGAAAAAATAATTCAATTCAGAAAATATATGTTTGCAACCGAATTGCCTTGTATAGACGCATGAAGCAAGTTCAAAAGAGAACGATAAAAATTGCCGCAAATAAACTCGCCTAATATAAATCAGGACTTTTTTATTTATTTTATGTTTAGAAGCCACTACCTACAGTGTTGTTTTTTTATTCGCCTCAAGTTGTCCTAAGTTATATTTGCTTTGTTCACGTACTGTAAGAATCTACTACTATTTGCTACGATAACGATTTTTCCTTTATGATATCGAAAAAAGTATAATATCTAGTAAAGAAACTCGAAACAACAAGAGTTACAATAATGATGGCTACTCCTTGTTTAGGAACTACTCCCCGCTTATGATCTAGTCCATCAACTTGGGCAAGCGTGGGTAATGATCTTAAGCCTTCAGTGTCCGCTAAACGAATTAGAGCCGGGTGGTCCAGGACTCGGAGTGAAGCGATTTTATTGAAATTTGATTGAGCTTAGGTACTAATTATGAGAAGCAAGATTCTTATCTAGTATTGGTTGTGTAAAAAGGTAGTGATATCAGTGATGTAGTTTTTGGTACTATTTACAAAATATTTACATAGTTAACCGTTAATTTCAAATGTTAAAACTACGTCGGCGTCTGAGATGGACTCGATGTTTCTGGATGTCACAAATTCTTCAACTAGGCGGCATCTCTCTGCCCCCGAAAACGCAAGTACAATGCGAAACGAACTCGTCCGGTTGTTGTTCGCCATTGCCTGGATCAGTTGTTTGAATTGGCTCTCAGTAAACTGCGTCATATCTTCTTCTTCGCCTGACACGTACTCGTCGTTATCTGCTTTGGTTTCAATGTTTGTGTCGTTGTTCGTGGCCACTTCGTTGGGCATCTATAAAGAAGGCCGTCTGATTTATTGGTGTTGTCCTCGGCTTTTACTTATAGGTCGTAGTACATGGCCACTGAGTTGGGCGCCAATAAAGAAACTCGAAACAACAAGAGTTACAATAATGATGGCTACTCCTTGTTTAGGAACTACTTCCCGCTTATGATCTAGTCCATCAACTTGGGCAAGCGTGGGTAATGATCTTAAGCCTTCAGTGTCCGCTAAACGAATTAGAGCCGGGTGGTCCAGGACTCGCGATTTTATTGAAATTTGATTGAGCTTAGGTACTAATTATGAGAAGCAAGATTCTTATCTAGTATTGGTTGTGTAAAAAGGTAGTGATATCAGTGATGTAGTTTTTGGTACTATTTACAAAATATTTACATAGTTAACCGTTAATTTCAAATGTTTAAAACAGAGTTGCATTTAAATATGGAAATCATAAGATCAATAAAACGTGTTTACACTATTGTAATTAAAATTGAATAAAAATAAAGCTGATCCGCTTCACTAGAAGATTCTTGCAGTATGGGAACAGACCAATTATTGTACACACAAATAGTTCAAATTGTTATTAGATATTTGGAAAAATGTTGACTTTTTAACATAAATCATACCACTTTTTATTACGGGAACTGACCATATACTAATTATCACAGAAAAAATTGAAATGTTTTCAATTAATATACGAACAAGTAAGAATTTTATATTCTTAAAAATTCAATCAATATTCCGCAATTTTTTTTTTGCATAAATTATTGATTTATAAATTTAAAATCTAATTACATTAAAAATTCCCAAAAATAACTTTTTTCGATTCTTTTCACAATTACCCACAAAAATCGACATACAATCGATTAATCGATTACCGCCCATTTTAGATCCCTTAACGTTTTATCTTCCATATCTTCTTCTAAACAATTTTTACATCGTGTGCATTACACTACATTCGTAAACATTTGAATTCCTTTTCTTATTGGGCATTCCCTCCCCCTTCCACGTATTCCAATTGTTGATGGAGCGTTTTTAATTTCGGATTGGCCGCAAAGAATTTAAAAACAAAAAGAATTTGCGAAAAAAATGAAATCAGGAAAGAAACTACACAACCAAACAACAACAAAACATAACCAAACCACAAGAGACGGATTGGACGGACGGTCGTTCGGTCGGATTGGTGGCGAGAACAACAACAGAAAAAAATTCATCGTAAAGGGAGAAAAGAAGGTAGAATTCATTCTTTAAAAATAGGTCTTTTAAAAACGTTATGAAACGGCGGACTGATTCAATTGAGCTTTGGGTGATTTTTTCCGTTTAAGAAAAAGAAAAGAACAAAAATTACAGAGCAGTTATTGAAAAGAAGAAGTAATTGAGGAAATACCAACGGCAACGTAATCTCATCTTTTTCGCATTGGCCTTGCCGAGAATATCCTTCCTGCTATTCCTGTCTATCAAAATCAAAGTGCTGTCATCTTCACCGTTACCACTTAAGTTAAACCTTTAATCTGCTGTTGCGTCAATTACTCCCGGCCTATTTGCTCGTTGTTTGTGTGCTGCTAATTAGTTTCTGCCTGTCTGTGTCGTCCTTTATCCTTGGAAGCGTAATTCAAACTCATCATGCTGACTTTGTATTACGTGAGCGCAACCTTTTTGCAGTCATGGCGTATCAATAAGATATGCCAGAAGATTGGCGAACAATTGTCTCAACAGGCCACCATTGCCTTTTATGTTTTGCCTCAAAATCGAGATGATGGTTTCTGTAAGTCAATTGTCGATTTACCGGCAACTCGGTCTTATGTAAAACTCATGTTTATTATCTGTCTGCATTTTTTTCTTTCAGATTCACGCTTGGCCACTTCGGAGCTGTGTCAGAATCGTCAAATAGCCCGAGTTACGGAAATCCTTTGGTTGCACGACAACAATCGTGGCTGTTGCCTTATGCCATTACAATCCATACCCACCTCGGCTTGGATAACATTTCCCGATGCACCCGGTCTGCGACCATTTCATTTCGGCAAATCGCCTGAATCATTGCAGCGTAGCTTAAGTTCACATCGTCATCATCATAATCGAGATGATGGTGGTTTGATACGTCTTTTATTAGAAACGGAAACAACACCATGCTATGAAGATCGTGTGTGGCAACAAGATGTAGTTAGGGTAAGTAAGTATGTATGACTCGGTGTGTGTGTGTATGATTGGGTGCCGTTTTGTTTGCTAGTTTGTTTACATCATGGTTTGGGGTTTTGGCTTGTAAATTTATTTATAACATTTTAGGGGGGTATTGATTGTCCATTAATATGGAGGAATTGTATTTTGTTTTTTTTTTTTACTGTTATTGTATAAGCGGTTTATCAACGGGATATTATAACAGTTTGTAACAAATTTAAAAAGGAAATGTATCTGATTCAAAAACTGTTTTGACCTAACTTTTAGTTTCGTTTTTATTTCTTATTATTCTAGAGGTAGGCATTTTTAATCTCTTTATGAAGATGTACATTTTTCTTCGGGTAACCGGATAATTGATCGACAACATATCAAAACCTTAAACCTAGATATAAAAAATTAGGAGTTCTAAGGTCCATATTATTTGCAGTTACGTATGGCATCATTGCTGAGAGACTATCATGGATTTGTATAGACTTTTCAAGAACTTCAGGACTTCAAACGCTTTAAATTGATACCCATATTGCCTCAATAAATGTTAAAAATCGTGAGAAAATACATGGAACCCAACGGAACTTTGGAGGCCCATATCTTCGGAAATACTGATTTCCGAAAGAAAAAAAAGTATACCATTGTAATCAGCGCCCCAAGAACTACATATCAATACAATTTTCAAAATGATCCCCGAGGGGGACCCTAAACTAGACTTGTTCCCTAAATCTGAACCGATTTTCAGGAAACTTAACACACATTATTCTAGCCTCAATTCAGTACCCTATGCCTAATATCGTGCAAATCGAAAGATATATAGGGAAATGGTACACCATTTACATAAAATCGGACGTAAATATATATGGGAGCTATATCTAAATCTGAACCGATTTTCACGAAACTTAGCACATATCATTGTAGACTCAATTCAGTACCCTATGCCTAATTTCGTGCAAATGGTAGGATATATAGGGACTTTGGCGAACCATTTACATTGGATCGGACGAAAATATATTTCAATTTTCAATTTTCAATTTATTTTTCATAAACGAGAATCTAGCCCAAAGGGCCAAAAGCGATTCAAAAAACAACAAAATATAAACTACTCCAAAAGCTTAAAACTAACAGTGTATTAGCTTAATGTTATCTTAACGACTATTGAGTTGGAGGGGTTCAGAACCATTGTACTTCAAAAACATTTTTATTATTATTATTCCATTATTTGATGCAGCGACCTATCACATAGGGCAAAGGACTTCAATATTTTATCTACTCTCAACCACTAAATTCAATTTACAGGTTCAAATATCTTATTATTATATCACAATTATCAATTAAAAAAAAAAAAAATAAAAAAAAATAATATATTATATTTAAATTTATTTAAAAGTTGAAATCAGTAATGCAATAAAAACACAAACAAATAAGCAAAACCTATCAATTTAAGATGAATTGAGGTTGAAGTAATCGTATAAATGAGTTCGATAACATTTTAAGGAAGAGTTAAATGTTTTAAGAGAAGGCGGTAAGGTGTTAAAAATTCTAGAAATTCGTACAAAAAAGGCTTTTTCCAATAAAGGACACAAACGCGGAACAAGTATTTGTATGTTTCTAACAGATCTAGAAAACATAAACAAATCAACTACAGAGGAAGGAGTCTGCAACTTAAAAACCTTATAGAACAACAACATTGACCTTAAACTCACAAAACTTTCAAAGGTACAACCGAGGAACTCTTTAACGTAAGGAGAAATGTGGTCACGACGTTTAACACAATATACATATCGCATAACCCTATGGAACAATAGTTTAATTTTACGTAAAACATATCCACAACAACCCCCAAAAATCTCAATACAATACAAAAAATTTGGCATAATCAATGCATGGGCCAATTGAATTCTAATGCTCTTAGGCGGAGCCATATCCAAAGAGTACAACTTTCTTAAAATAAAGTTTACCTTGGACACCAAAGAATTAACATGCACATCAAACACCAAACTACTATCAAGAAACAAACCAAGACATTTCATAGAGCTTACAACATTTATAGAATTATTATAAATGGAAACATTTACTGAATTCTCTTGCAAGTTCCCAAAAAACATAACTTTACTCTTACGTGTATTAATTGAGAGTCCGTTTGCAGATAACCACGTTACTAACACATTGATATTAAAATGTATAGAGGACTGCAAAACATCTAAAAACACATATTCTCCTTTAAACAAAATCTGCAAGTCATCAGCAAATGCAAATGACATGCAGCTCCTACTACTAATACAACTTAGCAAATCATTAACATACATAACAAACAATAGAGGCCCAAGTACAGACCCCTGGGGTACACCACTACTCACAGGGAGCATTCCAGAAACAACATTCCTACAACAAACATACTGCTTCCTTCCAAACAAATACGACGAAATAAGCTTACAAGCTGAGGACGAAAAATTGAACAAACGATGCAATTTTCTTATTAAATTAGCGTGATTAATTTTGTCAAAGGCTTTCTCTAAGTCTACTGACAACAACACACAACAGCCTCCCGTACCAACAGTCTTCCTTATATTGTCAGTCAATCCAACGAGAAGAGATGCAGTGCCGCGATTACTCCTAAACCCATACTGGCTCTCATGTAATAGAGAATTTTCACCAATATAAACTAGCATTTGATCTTTCATGACATACTCAACCATTTTAGAAAGAATCGGCATTATAGATATAGGCCTATATTCACTAGAATCACCATTCTTTTTTTGAATTGGCACTATTTTTGCAATTTTCCACATCTCTGGAAATACAGACATTGTTAACATAGAATTGACAACGTGCAACAAAAATTGACCAACAAGGGGGAAAACAAGTTTTAGAAATTTTAGCTGAAATCCATCATAACCAACTGCCGTGGACTTGATTTTATTGAAAGCATCAACAATCTCAGCATAATCAATTGCACGAAAGGAAAAACCATCAAAAGCATCAACAGGAATACAAGAAACATCAAAAACATCTACGGATTGATTCGAAACAAAAGCTGAATTCAGAGCCTCAACATCAACATTCCCGACTTCTCTGTCATCAGTACACAAACCGCTTTTATTTAAAATTGACCACACTTCCTTTGTGGATTTATTAGCAAACATATCCCTATGAGCAATAAATTTTAGTTTTCTTATAGTTTTTTTGGCTCGGTTACGACAGCGACAAAACAATTTCCAATTTTCAACACTTTTGTCCCGAAGATAGGACCTATAAGAAATGTCACGAAGAGACAAGTGATACCGAATTTCAGCAGACTTAAACCAGTCATCTTTATTAATTTTACAAAATCTCCTTTTGACAGGAACTACACTATACAAGTGCCGAAGACCACAGTTCAATATATCAAGCTGGGCATCAACATCTGCCACAGAATAAAGCTCACCAAAGTTGTATGTATTAAAGGCGCTGGAAAGCGCCACAGGATCAACAGAACTGAAATCTGCATATTCATAAAAACTCTGCACACAAAAACTGGGAACATTAATTGATAGAAAGATGAACGAGTGATCAGAAATACCAGGGCACAAAAACTGATTTGAACATGCTACCAAACTCAGACACGACACAAAAAAATAATCCAACAAAGAAGTAGAGGTATGCGCAATATCGACGTGTGTGGGCATTGAGTTGTGGACAACAGATAAATTTAATCTGCTACAAATTTCCCTTACAACTAAACTTCGCTGCAGATCAAACATATTATTATTGAAATCTCCCATAATAATAACATTTGAGTACCTAACAACAAGATCAGAAATTTCATTTTCAAAAGCCACAATATCGCCATGTGGCAAATAAACCACACCAACAAGAAACACACAATTGCTTACAATTACCTCGCAGAAAATATATTCAACAACTCCATAAGAACTTCCTCTGCACACAAATTTATGTTTAATATTCTGAGAAACATACATTACAACACCACCTCCTCTATTACAAGGACGATCACTCCTATAACAAAAATAACTTGGTATTTGTATAGCTTCTGTGGAAACAATAGGCTTTAACCAAGTTTCTGTCACGCCAAAAATGCCAAGATTATTACCCTCTAAAATATTTCTCAATTCATGGATTTTAAAAGTATTCTTACTCAAATTATAACTTCTGAGATTTACATGACCTACATTAAGATTGTTTTTAAAATTGCATAACTGACTTCTAAGAAAACTATTATCGCTAACAATATTACCTAAACTAGTTGAAAAATTCATTATCTGACTGTATAATTTAAATGAGCGTAAGAAACAAAATTAAATCCAGGAAAAAAAAAATAAAATTAATAAATAATAAATAAATAATTCAACTACTCACACAACCTTCACTTATGAACTACCAACAATACTATCTGCACTTAACCGTGAAACAGCAGATGAATCCAAACCGCATGAGGCAGCACTAGCAACATTAGCTACACCAGCAGAGACATCATCACCATTATCATCTTCAGCTTGAACTTTTTGATTTTATTATTTCTCCACAACTTGCGACAGAGATACATTAATTTTGAAGCTGTACGATTATGATGGTCATTCAGGTACACTCTACTTCTTACAGCCACACCAGTGATATCACCAAGCATTAGAGGATTACGTCGCTTTTGGTAACTAGCCATTAAACTGTCTCTAACGAGAATGGAATTAAACTTAACCAGCACGGATTTACCCTTTGAGATGTAGCAGCAATGGTTTATGTCGCCAGGGTGCAAATCAATACCGTATATAGCTGCGATTTTTATTATCGGGTCTCTCAATCTCTTGATCCCATCAGGCAAACCACTGACAATTATGTTTGACCTATTGAGACGCCTAGTTAGTATATCGGCTTCAATTTACAGACTCTTGCTTAGTCTGCTCGAAAATCTTAATTGCAGCCTGGCAACTCCGCACTGATTCCTCCATTATTTGAAATCTACTGTCAACCTCTGAACGAATCGTCTTGACCACATCCTTAATTTT